CGCCAGAGGCATTGTTACCGGGTAAGAGACACAAGAATGGAAACAGAGGGGTCACGGCTAGCAGCAAGAGCGGGCCAGGCGGCAGATGAACAGGATGCTAGTTGTTGGGTATCAGGAGTACTTTAGCTATCATGATAACAAAGTCCTGCGACAACATCATCCTCAGGTGTCACTACGTCAAGAGAGCGTAGGCAACGACAAAGAAACAGTGTAACTCCTATAATACCAACTCCCAAAGACCGGATTGACGACGATCATCGCAAGGGGACTTGGATATTAGGCCGTAGGTTCAGCCTTGGTCGGCTCTTCGTCGTCCGACAGTGACAGGAGACTATCCGTGTCACTTGCCTCTGTGGTGGGTGTCCTGATAGGAGGGTATGCTTCGTCGTCTGTATCGCTTGCTCCTGACGAAGCATCGTTCTCATTCGCATCGTGTGTCGTGGTGAAAGGTCGCAGAATCACATCTAAGCGGGCCGCCATGTCTCGTCCTTCGTACCTGGCATGAACAGCGGCAAGAGGGTCGTTCGTACGTCCGACGCAAGTCGTTGGGACGAAAGGTGCATCGGTATTGTCGTCACGGAATCGTTCTATCGCCAAGGACATTCCGGACGCCCCTTGGTGATCTGGTCCACTCGTAGTCAACCTGAATCTGAGATCAGTCTTGTCCCACACCACTGCTTCCAGCAATGGCCCCAGTTCTGAGATGCACATGCTTACCCAGACATGATCGAGACACCAGACGAGGTGTTTTCGGGCGTCATCCGCCCAGCGTCGGTAGGCTGTGAGCCGGTAGATCGACCACTCGTCGACGAGTTGCGAGCCGGTGCCATTTTGATGTAGTGAAGCGTGTCTTGAGAAACTGTGGTACAGTTGATTACGTTGACAATAATTGGTGTTCTCACAAGTCAGAGTGATCGACCTCTCGTTGAGCAAAAAGGACGGGGAAATTACTCGTAGGAGGATGTGCTGTTTGGTTCGTTCTTTTATGGCGTCGAATCCGGTCTCGGTCTCGAGGCAAGCCGTTAGGACAGTGCAGTGATGTCAGTACGATTAACCGCATCTCAATCAGCATTTCGTCCCCCGACACGATCAAACCCGACCGGGAGCACGTCTCCTGCCGCTACAAGGATGTCGGGGTGGCGACTTGAAGAAGCAGCAACATCCAATGATGTAGATAGCCCAAGTCCAGAGAATCGTGCGACCAGTGGCTGGCTTTGGGATTGTGACGTGCATGCAAGAAACCAAGCTAAACATGATTGATGATTGGGAGGAGCATTTCGACGTTGCACACAGTCTGGATGTGGTCAAAGCCGCACACCTGGGTACAAGTTCGTGAGCTCTGTTTGGCCGTAGGTGACTGGGCGGTACTCAATGCTGAAGCAAGCTTCCCCAGTGGTAGACTAGGGTCACCATAGTCGGGTTGACAAGACAGAGCGAATCAGACGCCAGGCGTGAATGGGACAGCATGATGGGAAACGGAACCACTAAAAGGCCAGGCAGTGGAAAACCGAGCGTTGAGAAAGGTAGCAGGCTAACATCTTGCTTCTTCCTATTGTCCACAGTGATTTCCATCCGCTTGAGCGCAAGATGGAGCGCGATGCTCCTGGACATGAAAGTATCAGCAAGTAGAAGACCTGTATCTGCCTTGTAGCGGCAGCTCCAGATAAGAACGAGTCGGCCTCTGGTTGAGTGAATCTTGTCCAAGCAGCCAGGAGGGCATGGTCAGAGCAGTGCAGACCAGGGGTTGACGCCTGACGAACAATTGTGCCTTGACGAGGGGCAATGAGGATAGTGTTGAGCCGCCTCGTTGCCTTTTTGCGAACCAAAGCTCTGTGTTATGGCTGTGGACACTGAACAAGTACGTGCGTCGAGCCTGCACATAGATTTGAATGAGAGTGGGGACTGCGAGCGCCAGTCACGTCCTCGGAGTTGACGGAAGTCCCGAGTACGCCATCCTCAAGGTCAGAGAAAAGCCTCGTAGGGTAACAAGAACCGCCGAGTCAACTGCGAATCTGCCACCTCCACATTAGAGGTCGACCCCGCACTCCAACTGTCGTGTCCTGTGGTTGATAGCAACGATATCGGCTCGCAATGGTGACCAAGAAGGGACAGCTCGCCGAAGAGAAGAGTGTTCCGGCATGGTTCAAGATAAACAGGAAGCTGAGGGCTTCGTGACTGTCATTGGTTGTGACGTGGGGACCAAGGGACAGGTGAGCACCTGGCAAAGACGTCCAGTTGCTTGCCAAAGGTTACGCTCTCCATGAGCGTCATGCAGCAGGGCACCGACATGGAGACGTCCATGTCCCACTCGTGTTTCTGCTCGCATCGGAATGCTCTGGACCAATTGTTCATCGACACATGATGTGGTGACGGCCTGGGAAGCGTCGCATCCAGAGCATAAACCGGTTTATCGCTCGTAGGTAGTCGTGAGGGCTGTCTCACGGCATTAGCATCATGCGCGAGAGCTCAAAAGGAAGCGGAGCGTACCCAATCAATGGTCGGATTATACACCCTTTCGTCATGGATCCGACTACCCACATATCATTGGTGTCCGTCAGAGCCCGGTGAGAGACGAGGCGCTTTTTCTCTGTGCCATGTTGGGTTGCCTCATGGATGTATGTATGTGTGGTAAGGTAAGGCAGACTTGAGGTTCGCGGCCGAGTGTCCGTGATGGTAGGGTTAGGGTTGAGCAGCTCTTGCGGCTCTGCGCCACGTGAAACACACGCATGGTTTGAGAAGGAGCAACAACGAAGCAAGAGGATAGTTGCTGGACAATGCCATAAGAGCCCCGAAGACAACAATAAATTTTTCAATCGAGGCAAGGCAAACCATAAATATAAGCACTGTCCCGTTTCGACATCCTGCTTCTTCCACATCATGGACTTCCAAACATCAAGTTGGCGGGGGGTGTGGCCTCACGAAATGGGTACTGAGATCTATCCAATCATCCGAGGACCTCATTGCTTCTATGCTAGCGATACCTTAGCAGGTGCGCTTCCCTCGCTATGACTCTTTTTTGATTCGCTAGCCCTAGAGTGAGGACATCCTTGTCCTTGTCATTGCGTTAAGTGCAACATGGGCGCAAGGTTCTGCAGCCTGCTACTTGCGCTGCGTCAGCCGCAAAATGCTGTCGCTTACCGGTTGGGCCAGCCTGTCGGATGCTTGGGTTTCTTAACCCTTAGATACACCGCACCTATTCACCTGCTGGGTGACCTTGAGCTTGCCCAACGGCACATGGGTTGCTGCGAATATCACTGCAACCTAATCATGTAGTAGCCAAGTTCGGAATCTACGTTGAGAAGTCCGTGTCAATCCCGTTTCCCTTGGAAGAAATCATGCGCTGATCTTGGATGTGATTCAGCCCTATGCGTAGCAAAGATGATGTCTCGGTCATCAAGCACTGGCTCCGGTCTAATCCTGACTGTGGTTCCTGGCCTACAGTATATCTCTCTTCCATCCCCAACATTCGTTCGGTCCGGGCTCACACTACGGAAAAATGTGTAGGGGCTGAGCAAAGCAGCCTTATGACCAGCGGTTCCCCTTGTCGCTAGATTACGCATCATTTTACTCCTCATCTTCTCTGATGTGGTCTGTTAACCTGGGTTTAAGACACTAAACCACGTCTCGACAGTCAAGTGTGGATGCCAGTGCCGATTATGGCTCCGTCCAGTTCGGTATGGCACACAGCACAAACAGCATCGACATCACAGAGGAGACATCCACTAGCTCCTCGTACGCAATGCTTGATAGTGCAAACCAGATCTTCGACGCACTATACCATACAATAACACTGGGCGAATTCCTGTTCGACAATTCACTTCTCAACCTAGAACCCTACCATGAATCTCCACCACAAAGCTGCACGTCTCAATGGCAACCGTCTGTCTGCTATGCCGCTCTGCAGACTTCGACACTCGACTTGACATCCACACCAAATCACCCTGATGGCTTTGTTGACGACTTCCAACCGGACTTCAATTACTTGGTGTCGTCTATAGGAGGGCAATTTGATCCTCCCTACATGTCGGTCAACGTGGACGCAGGTACCGATGACGCAATGACTTCCTGCCCATCGTCCAGCGACTTCAGCGTTACAGCCATATGGAATAACCAGTCCTCTGTCGACGCCACATATCTTACAGATGGTGCCGGCATCAGCCGAGGCGACAATTTGCTCACTTGGCCGGAGTCTGAGCTTATACTGTCGGTGACGAGATCCAGCACTGTGTCCAGCCTCAGTTCAAGCACCGGCTCGGATTCGGACACAGAACCAGCTAACAACGCACTCTCGTGTATGGAGTTCAAAGACGACCGACGTCATCTTTGCGATCACGAAAACTGCACGCGCTCCTTTGATACTGCCAAACAACTCTCGTAAGCATCAACTCAACTATCTACGGCCTGCCCCCAAACCCGACTGACTAGAGCTACAGTCAGCACAAACGCTGCCACAGCAAAAGATACCGTTGCAAAGATGAGGCTTGCCGCAAGAACGACATTGGTTTTGGTACCAGACGAGACCTGGAACGGCACGAAAGGGCTGTCCATGAAGGAGAAAGGAAGGAATGTCCTCATTGTCGCAAGAGGATCAAGCGGTTCGACAACCTGAGGAGACACATAGCTACCATGCACAAGAACAGTAAGCCGAACAAACTTAGGCTACAATCATGTATGCAGCAGAAATTCATAGACGACAGTATCAACAATTAGTTTTCTTACATGATTGCAGGGGTTGCGACTTCATAGCTGGCTGGGTTTGTAACTACTGCTTGGACATCGGACAATGACGGACGACTTATCCCTACGGCCCGTGGCCAGAGGCTAACTGCCAGATACTTCGGCACCACAGATCAACTATTACGGTGCCTATTTTCATCAGTTACATCATCAAGCGTTTCCTACTAGCATGTTAGGACACGGAACTTTTAACGGATATGAGTGGGCAGAAACAAATTAACAGCTTACATAATAACCATAATCAAGCAGTTCAACAACATCCAGCCCTTATAGCTCAGTGGTAGAGCGTTGCACTTGTACGACATCATGCAATGCAAAGGTCCATAGTTCAATCCTGTGTGGGGGCATTTCATTGTCTTTTTGCATTTTGTTTTCTTCGTATCATGATTCTACTAGGTCAGATCTATCGATTGGTGTCACAATAATTTCGATGTGATTCTTATTCTTATTTTTGCAGCCTCTAAACCTCTTGTAGTGGAGGATGCAATCATGGGGAGGCGTGGGGAGGAAACGAAACCCAAACACCAACACGGGGGCTCACCAATGACCAAATGATGTGCGGCTGATCTCGATGAACCGCGACAGGTGCCATGGGTTTGCGACAGACTTAAAAGGCTGGTACATATCATGTAGAATGCAACGCTCTGGCCTCAAGTGGGCATGATCCAAGGTGCAGTTCCTCTCGTGGGTTACACAGTCAATCTAGGCGAGCGGACGAAGGCTAACTCGCCGGAGGCGGTCTTTGGCCGGAAATCTACAAACCTTGGTCATACGTGCATCTCTTTCCCAGAATCCCACCATAGACGTCCTGTCAGGTAGCAGGGTTAGAGGCCGAACAGACTAGTCGGCATCTGCACTCGGCGGTCGAACCAGGAGTATGTGATTTGCCAAGACATCAATACAAGCCAGTTTACAGGCAACAACGAATATACGACTGTACTCAAATAACATGTTCAGGGGCTAGCTCTGTCCTCAAGCCTCACATCGGCCATCAATATGTTGTGTGCAGGTATCAACAACGAGTCTGATCTCACAAAAGTCTGCCTACGTACTCGCATATAGAGTGGGCTCGATCTAGGTAAAGTACAGCCCAGGCTCAGTCACCATCGTTGGACATAAGATCCGAACATGCATCGCCTGCGTTAGGCACCCGGCTTCAGACCTTGGCACACAACACGACCTCTCGAGCACTTGATTCTCGCCTCTTTCCTTGAACAGCTTGCCAGGTATCCCATAACCAGCCATGACAGTCCTTTTTCTTCTGCTGCTTGTCCTCATGTTCCTATCCACGACCACAACCGCCATGCTATCCAGAGTCCGCTGCAATAGTTTGGAGGTTCGTCCCATAGAGGGGCGCATTGTTCGAGACGAACTGGACGGATATCAGGCATGTTTTGTCGGTTCTACCCTGCCTACTTATCGTCTCTTGCATTACCATTAACGTCTCAACCTGCGCAGGCACGATGTATTATCGAGGAGGCTCTGGATCAATGCCCTGTCGAAGACTTCTGCTTAAGAACCGCGGAGTTCTGGTATGATCGGTACGACAAATGTATGAAACGCCACTGTGGGGGTTCTGCAAAGTGTACGTGGTCACCAGTTGTACATTAGCTTTGATATGTCTGCCACTCACCTACTCTAACAGCTGTGCTATCAACAGATCGGAGACAGCAGAACGACCTGAAGGTTATGTGGGAGAAAAAGCAATGCAATGGCAATTTTACCCAGAGATGATGCGCACAACACTGGTTCACAAACTCGTGTGTGTCCCTGAATGTAAGACCTGAGGTCATGACATACAGTCTAGGTCCTAGCTCGAACTTTCCTCAGCGAGCAACACAATAAGTCATTTGACTGCCTTGAATCCTTCCGAACCTTTTCACCTTTGATGCCGTAACTCCATAGCCATATACGCCGACGTACAAACATCCAGCCAAAACCGCTGGTTCAACCTCAGTAGTTCCACAATGCCTTGTGATAGATAACCCGACTACCCAACCTCTCAAACTCATGTCCCGTGATCCAACTATCGTTCGTTGGTAGCTTGGCAAAGACACTGGCTCCTTTCCAAACGACGACCTGCTCATCCATGTCCCTGGCACTTCGGGACACGAGAATTCTATCTGCTAGGTCGGGTCTAGCCGCTTTCAGCTTGTCCTCCAAGAACGGTGCGAAGTGCGGGATCTTGCTGCCTCCACCAACAACCATGATCGAGCCAAGCAGATCTCGGAGCTTCTTGTCTTCACCGCGGGTGGCATTCATGATGCTTGTTAGGATGGCGACATCGAGGGGCGCGACGGGAAGGACTGCGTCACGCTCGGCAGCAAGCGTCTTCTGGGACTTTTGTTGCGGGAAGGCGAGGCTGTCGTTGAAGGAGAAGGAGGGTGCGTTGGGCGGGAAGCTACCTGATGGCGCCGGTGTGCCGCCGCTGCGTCCGCCAGGGGTAGGTGCGGGACTGGCGTTCCCGCCGTTGCCGTTGGCCAGGTCTTTGCCAAAGACGTACGGTGGCACCGGGGTGTTGGCGCCTTCTGGGGCGGGAGAGGGGGCGTTGGACGTGCCTGGCGTGCCGGTGAGGTCGTTGCGGGCGAGGAAGTTGAAGGGTTGGGTCCTTTCTTTGCTCGGCGTGGAGAGTTCCGGTGGCGGCCGTTCGAAGCTGGAGATGGTGGTGTTGTTGATGGACGGCTGATTTCGTGCCAGGATGGCTATCTGCGCACTAGAAACAGGGTCATCCGGCATGTCCACATCGTACGCGTTGTAGGACCGCTCAACTAGCTTTCTTCGGCCGCGGAGCTTAGTGCTATTGTCGAAGATCGTGGGGTCGTAGAAGCCCATAGGGGCAAGGATTGTCTCGTCGTAGGTCTTGAACTGGTACTTGCGCGTAGGTTGATTTGGCGCGCGAAGGTGGAACTGGTATAGCTGCACCGATATGTCGGCCTGGGACATGGTGCAGTGCTTGATCTTCAGTTCCTCGGCCAAAAGGAAGTCGTACCGCCGCCGTAGGTTTATCTCCTGGTAAGGGAATCGATCATAGAGCATCATTTTCAGGAACGTCTCCGTCACGTCGTATCCTCCGTACTTGAGGTTGATCCTGGAATCCTCAATAACAAGCCCGTCTTCCGTACAGGCAATCGATGTCTTCTGTGCTCCAACGTCCACAACGCAGGCCTGGGTATAGCCAGCGCCAAAGGTCGCCGCCATACTCTCTTGTATGAAGCTCACGCGGTGGAACTCAAACCACCCCATGCAAGACTGCAAAATTTGTTCCACGTACTTCTTATCGTATAGATCGGGTATGATGAAGACGCAGCTGTATTGTCGCCACTGGCTGGTCCTCGTGAGACCGAGTTCTTGGCGTATTGCCCTGTCTAGGACGGTCTCGAAATCGTCATACAAGTGTTCCTGGGTCGTGTAGTCATCCTCGTTCCACCAACCGTGCTGTATCGGCCACCAGAGCTTGAACTTTGGGTTGGAATCGTCCGCGACACGCTGGGCAGCATGTCCTATGAAGCAGGACGCCTTGGACTCGGGGTCGTCCAGCGTCTTGGTGTCGGTCCAGTCGATCTGTAGAGGATCGTTGTGCTGCGGTATGACCTCGGGCTCCGTTCTTCGGTTGAAGTTCACCACCAATTCCTTTGATGTTGGGAGGACTTTGCGCTTGTTGAAACGCATGTCCACCTTCAAATCATTGCACATCTTCTGGTACTTCTTGGACCATTCCTCGCCGTATTCTTCGTCCGGTGTTTGGGCCTCAAATTTCCTCCTTGGCAGCGCCTCGTACATCTCGGATTCCGTCTGGGGGAACTTGGTGGCAAGCGTCATGGGTATCGTCTTAGGGAGGGCATCGCTTGCGAAACCAATCCGCAGGTTCTGACTCCCCGGGTGTATGACTATTATCTTGGTGGGATCGAGGTGGTCTGCTGGAGGGGCAACGGCATCTTCAGTCTGTTCTTCGACGAGAGGCGGCGGGAGGTCGCCATTGGTATTGCTCAGGTAGCGGTCACGGTCTTTGGCACTTTGCACGAGCCTGTCGCGGTTCGCTTCGGTTTGGAGACGGTAAGAGAGTATCTGATCGTCGCGCTTCATGTAATCACTATGGTTGTCGCGTAAGCTTTAGTGTCTGACCAACTAATGCAAAGACCGGGCAGGGCCCATACGTGTAGTAGTTCTTTTGATTGATGGGGACGACATCGGGCCAACTGGTCAGTTTCATGCCGTTGTCCGTCCTTTCGAGGCCTACAATCTTCCCGGTCAGTATGGTGTCCTCGTCAGGGCAGTGAAGACGTTACTGCGTCAACCGGTTTGCTCTTACCCTCTCGTAGGAGCACCCGCTCGCTGACCTTTCCGACCATCTTGATTATATGACCGGGCCGGCGTGGATTTGCTTGTGATCGTTGACGTTTGCAGCTACCTGGCTACGATGGTTGTCAAGTTCACGTAACGTGGAGAACCAGATTATATCATGGAGGTCAGCATGAAACAGGCGGCAAGTTCTATCTTCTCACGCAATGAACCGTACAACACCCGACAATGAAAGGCTGCCAGTGTTGGGATCAGCTTCACAAGTCGTGATCCCTGCGGGCGCATCTCCACGCTACTCCAAATTAGGAAAAGGCCCTGAAGCTGGCCTAATTATGGAGTCGCCGTACCCTACAACACTGTCGTGAAGGCACCTTGGAGTATCTTCACCTTGCCGGCAAACACATCAAGAGGTATGTTTGAAAGAAAGGCACAGAACGTGGGGTCCTTAGGCGTTGCAGGTTCTGCACATATCATACAATTCTTTGTGCGTATTGCTTTGAGGACAAACCATACATGTAAGGCATGGCAGATAGAAGAAAGGTCACATGATGCGATGACGTAGCAAGCCTACTACTGTATGCCTACGCTTCTTACAACCGACGGGGGATAACTTTACACATAGCACACGACAACAAAGCCCTCAGCAACGTGACAAGCAAAAGGCTTTGCACGTTGTCTACTACTGCAGTACCAATTTGACTAGAAACGGTAGGACGGTATAGTCCAGATCTTTGATTCTGTACCGCCAAGATGCCTCCCATCCCTATTTACACGAAGAGCCCTATAAACGCGGCAACAGCAGATGGCGTAACACCCAAGACGGCAGCATCTGACGGAGGGATGCAACCAGAGAAGCCAAGTACGACAACAGCTACGTCAACCCAGCAGCCGGGAGAATACCCAGCAGCCCAGCCCGGTGCAGTCCCTCATCTGCCAGCAGTGACTCAAACTCACCATGTCCCAATTCAGCCCACACCGACCAGCAATCTCAGTAGCCAAGGTCCACCACCTCCACAGCCTGGCGCTGTTCCTGTTGCCCCGGGGATGA